AAAAAAAAAATTACATCGTTACACTCACCTCAATGATCTCTATCGATCCCCGTATGAATTTTTTTAATTCGCGATTTGGTAGTATTGTGCATTTATGCCCGTTTTCCTTGCAAAATTTTTTCTTCCATTCTTGCTCACGTTTTGGCATTTCTCTCGCAATTGCACCAGTGTGACGTCACACAAAAGTTATTCTCAAAAATCCTCTGATCGGCGCAATCTTGTATTCTATCATTCTTGGTTCCAGCGTCTACCCCGCATTAAAGTGGCAGTTCTGCTGCAGCGCACTAACACATACGCAACTACGAAAATGCCGCTACGCAACTTTCAAGCGCAGAAGTTACAAATACAATCAAACGTCCTGTACGTTTACTCATTTTATTCTGCTTATTTTCATCCAGTGTGAAACCGTGAGAATAATTGTTCTGTCATTCTAGTATGAAATAGCCCAATGAGGAAAATATGCAAGAAAATACGAAAACGCAAAACCAGCAATAAGTTGCTAGTTGTATGAACAGCTAATTAATTTGTTATTTTCCGATGCAATTTTCTAAGAAAACTAGTATTTCCCATCTTATATATTTAAATAGGTTTATTTTGTCAATAGCAACTATAAAAGCACCACAAAAAGTTATTTTGTTAATGCGAATTACATTTAGGATCATGCCATCAGCTATTTTTCTCACTAGCAAATGGTTGCTAGTAAAAATTTATCCAGTAAATCTTGCAAGTTCAGCTGTCATTTTTGCTCTCTCAATTTCCCCTCTTTTGCTAGTTTCTTGCAAGTTTTTGCGTACAAAAACGCTATCCAGTAAAAACCAGTAAAATGAGTACTGGATTTTAATGGATAGTGGATTTTAATGGATAGTGCGTACGCGAACAGGGTTATTATCACAATAGGTTCTTTCCCGTACGCAACGCGGGATCCCGCGGGTGCCCAGAAATAATTCCCGTACTCAACAAAATGGGTAATAGAGAGCGAAAATTGGAACGTATTGGATCGTAAGTGTCTTCTTCCTGCCCGAAATAGCCCGGACTTTTTCTCCGGGTAAAAGTGGATAAAGCGTCAATGTGCATATCAGCTGTTTTGTGTTTACATGTTGCCTTCATTTACTTGGTGATTTTAAGGAATAGTGAATGTATTTTCAATCTTTATATTTTTAAAATCAAATTTGTGAAGCAAAAATTCAATTTCAAAGAGTTTGCATTTAAGTGACAAAAACAAAAACAACGCGAATCAACTGTTGCTCAAACTCTGGGCACGAAATGTTGTTTTTGCGTTCTCGTACTTCTGGATTATTTTCCATTTTTGAGAGCAAACTTTTCGCTTATTCTCTAATTATCGGATCCGGTCCGGATTGTTAGGGAAAGAACCTAATATAACCAGTAAACAATATTTGGTGAATTTGGTGACTGCCTTCCAAGGATGCAATTATGTATTGGTACACACGCCTTCTAAGCACGCAGGGTTGCTTTTGAGAAACAAAATATAATTAACTCAAAATAGTTTCAAAAAGTATTGTGGAAAACGAAATTTATTGAATAATTCGGAATTCGGAAAAGTCGGGAGGGGTACCAAACGACGCGTTTCGGTCCCCCTATTAACAATCTGGAGGGGGAGGGCTAATATTATAAACCATTTAAAAGTTACAAACAAAAAAACTTAATATTTTTATTGAGCTTTGTACCACGATTGTTTATTAGGAAAAATTTAAAAAGCAACAAAGTCTAAGCGGTAGAAGTTATAGCACTATTTCGGAGATCACCACATCTCCTCATCAGACTTCTTTTTCTAGACTTCAGCAGGGATCGAACCTGCGAATTCGATGTTCAAAGTCAGAATGACAGTAAAGTGGCGGCGTGCGTGAATATTAGGTTAGCCTGTAATTCATTTTTCCTTATTCAACCAACTACTATCAAGTGCAGCTGATTTGCCGCTATTTAAACTCGACAGCGTGGTTGTTGTTGTCAATTCTATACATCCATTTGCTTATTTGCTTTTTTGTATAGTTTCAGGCAGGCTCTTCCTAAACTATNAATTTCGTTGTTTTCTATGAGCAATTACCACGTCAAAAATGCACTAAATCACCAGTTTCCACTTTTAAAACACTATCTAAAATTATTATAACCTCAAATCGCTGGTATTGCCACTTTATTTCACATTTCATTTGCGCTATTATACTCAGTTTACACTATACACTTCTTCTTTTACTTTCACTTAAATAAGATTTTTTATTAAAAATTTTCATTATTTATCGAAGTATTGATTTTTATGGAAAAAGCGCCGCAGGCGAAAATTTGTAATAAAAAATCGCGCGATTTTTTATTAAAAATTTTCATTATTTATGTATATATTAAACGAAAGAAGATACCGAAAAGCATTGAACACTGCACACACCTTGTAAGGAAAAGTGAATTATTACGAAATACTAATACAATGGCAGCACTATAGCTATTTTGTAATCTCGCGTTTCAGTTCGCAATGATTGTCAACTTTTTTGTAACAAAATAATCTATCTTAGGTTGATAAAACTATGTGTTTGTTTAATAAATAAGTTAAATTATATATTTTGATAGTGTTTAAAAAGTGAGAACAGGTGATTTAGTGAATCTTTGTCGGTGTAATTTCCCATAGAAAACAACGAAATTAAACAAAAGTTTTTTGTTCATAACTTTTAAATGGTTAATAATATATGCCCATCCCCTCCGGATTGTTAATAGGGGGACCGAAACGCGTTGTTTGGTACCCTTAACGACTTTTCCGGACCTTTTTTAGGGGTTGTAACCCTATACTAGAGAATTACCAATAATTCCACATAAAATTGTGTGCGTAAATGACACTAAGTAAACTATTGGAATAAAACTTGTTTCATTACCTTTTTTGTGCAAAAAGAAAATATTCCCAAAGATTATAAAGCAAAACAAAAACAATTTTTCCCAATTGGTTTTTGTTTTGCATGTTTAATTATGGGAACGATTGTTTCACATGGAATTAACGATAGGGCTGAATGACTATCTGAACTGAACGCTCGGGCGCTGCCACTGAAATGAGCAACTAGAGAAAAAATACTGCTCTAGCCCGTTTCTGTATCTTTGCGATATGAATTATATCGCAGAATGCAACCCTTCTGCGTAGTTATCGCAAGGTAGTGTTTAGCTGAAATTAGTCGAGAACGCAAAACGTATACTTAAACGCAGTCTGTATACGCAGAATTTTGTCGATTACTGGGGCCCTCAGTGTTGCTTACTACACTGTTGCCACTCATCAATGCCTTTTCATAAACTTACCCTTTCAACTACAATTTTCCGTGCTATATTAGATTTTTGATAAATATAAACTACTTAGTTTTCAACAAAAACCTTACTCAATAGTAAATTACAAATATATTAAACATAATTTGAATAGGAACTTATATCTTTTTTACCATCTGTAAAACTGACAAAGTGGCAACCATCTAAAGAAGGAGAAATCAGCTGACACGGAAAAATCAAAATTCCGCAGATTTCTGCGCTACTGGCTACAACTACAGAAAAATTCTGCGGTGTTGAGTTTTCATTTACATGGCGCTTTGGTAAGACAGATCGTGGCTGCAATTTAGTTTGGCATCCCCGGAGCTCCGCATTAAGGTAGCTATGGAACGATAGAGGGAGTTCTCCTGATTGCAAATATATATACTTTTAGCCGCAGCAGGCTTCTAGTTTTTAAGTTATTTGTTGTTAAAGTTTGTAAATTGAACTAACCTCTCGGCGCTATTTCACACAATAA